ATCATCATTATTATTACTTCTTTAAACACAACAAGATGAGTCCGCAGCAAACAAGATGACTCTGTTGGCTGTTGGTAATCTTGTCAGCGCCAATTGTGTTTAAGTGCAGGCCAAGGTCTTTAGGCACTGCACCCAGTGTGCCGATCACCACTGGGACCACCTTTACTGGCTTGTGCCACAGTAATTAATTAAATTATTATTATTATTATTATTATTATTATTATTATTATTACTTCTTGAAACACAACAAGATGAGACCACAGCAAACAAGACCACTCTGCTGGCTGTTGTATTGGATCACACGTCGGACACTTCCCAAGTGTCTAGGACTGTGTGATGTATTGGCGACTAATGCGTGCAGATCCCAGGCCTTTTGCAGCTGGCAGATGGTAATTTTGTCAGCGCCAATAGTGTTTAAGTGCAGGCCAAGGTCTTTAGGCACTGCACCCAGTGTGCCGATCACCACTGGGACTATCTTTACTGGCTTGTGCCAGATTCTTTGCAGTTCTATCTTTAAATCATCACCATCACCATCATCATCACTAATTCTCCCTTAAGACTGAGACTCAAGGAAGTCTGCAAACAGCATCCCAAGAACCAACTTTAAACTGTATCCAATGACACAGATCTCACCCTCAGGGGCGGCTCAACCCATTACGCAAAGTAAGCATTCGCAGTATAGTTGATTTTGCCCAGGGGCGCTCTTGAGGCGCTCTTGGGGGAAAATAGACCTTGACATATGTGAGTTGTAGTTACTGGGATGTATCGTTCACCTACAATCAAAGAGCATTCTGAACTCCACCAATGATGGAATTGAATCAAATATGGCACACAGAACTCCCACGACAAACAGAAAATATATATCAGTGATTGGTGGGGGGGGGGGGGGGGGGGGGGGGCAAAATATTGTTTGTTTACTGTTGAAAATCACCTAGGGCCGCCTCTGCCCACCCTCCACAGCAAAGCATTGCATATTTGACTCTGCCATTGCATAGAATGGGCATCAGCGGATACCGAGGTCGGTCACATTTATTAAACCGTTCCTATTTATTTCCCACTTTCTTTCCGTTCTACATGACCGATCTCAACGCCAGGTTGGAAACAGTTAAAAAAATTCACCAAAGGCAAGAAAGGCATTTTCTCTCTTTCTCTCTCTCTCTGTGCGTTCAATATAATTAAATAAAACTATGGCCGATCGATCGCAGGAACAGAAAAGAACCGCTCAAGGGGGAGAAGGCCAAACTTTGCAAGTGGCGACATTATTACGATTCGTATGATTATTGCACAAGAAGCCAGATTAATAGGCAACGCAACGGCCTCTCTCGGACTTTGGCAACTCGATGGTGGCTGACACTTGTACTATTTGCGGATATTTATTGTTTGTTTTATTTATTTGAAACATTTAGAGATATGCAGTGTGCTGATACATAGATGCACAGGCAGACAGAGAGAGAGAGAGAGTTTGGCTGGCAAACTTCTGCAAATCCCGCGCCTTGTGGGCTTTTCCTGTCCAAGATACGGCGCATGGCCTGTGAATATTTTATGGCATGCAGCAGGAACGCAACCGGAGCGGATCGATCCGAGCAGAGCAGGACTCCAAGGCGGCCAGACCCCTCTTCAGGCTTCCCATAGGATCCTATACTCTCCTTGCTTGCCATTCGGTACTATACCCTCCTTGCTTGTAATATTATATACTTTTCCTGTGCCCCATCGTATCCTATAGTTTCCCTATACGCTCCTTGCTTGCCATATGGCCGCATACTCTCCTTGCTTGTAATATTCTATACCTGTTCCCCATAGTATTCTTGCTTGTAATAGAGTCCTACGCTCTCCTTGCTTGCCATATGGTCCTCTACCCTCCTTGCTTGTAACAGAGTTCTTGTGTCCCATAGTATCCTATCGTTTCCTTGCTTGCCATCGGGTCCTATACTCTTTTCACTTGCCATAAGGTCCTATACACTCATTGCTTCCCAGAGTATTCTTCTCACTTCCCATAGTATCTGATAGTCTTCTCACTTGCCATAAAGTCCTACACTATTCTCACTTGTCATAAGGTCCTATATTCTCCATGCTTGTAATACAGTTCTATACTCTCCTAGCTTCCCAAAGTATCTATATTCTTTTCGCTTGCCATAAGGTCCTATACTCTTCTTGCTTCCCTTAGTATCCTACTCTTCTCACTTGCCATAGTATCCTATACTCTCCTTGCTTCCCATAATGTCCTATACACTTCTCACTTGCTCTAAGTTCCCCCTTGCCATTGGGTCGTATATTTATTATTATTATTATTATTACTATTATTATATTTTTCTTGCTTGCCATAGTATCCTATACTCTCCTTGCTTCCCATAATGTCCTATACACATCTCACTTGCTCTAAGTTCCCCCTTGCCATTGGATCATATATTTATTATTATTATTATTACTATTATTATATTTTCCTTGCTTGCCATAGTATCCTATACTCTCCTTGCTTCCCATAATGTCCTATACGCCTCGCACTTGCTCTAAGTTCCCCCTTGCCATTGAGTCATATATTTATTATTATTATTATTACTATTATTATATTGTCCTTGCTTGCCATAGTATCTTATATTCTCTTTGCTTCCCATAATGTCCTATACACTTCTTACTTACTCTTAGTTCCCCCTTGCCATTGGGTCATATATTATTATTATTATTATTATTATTATTATTATTATTATTACTATTATTATATTTTCCTTGCTTCCCATAGTATCCGATATGCTTCTCATTTGCTAGAAAGTCCTATACTATTCTCACTTGCCATAAGGTCCTATATTCTCCATGCTTGTAATACAGTTCTG